GAAATCCATTTCGTTTTATGGTCCTCAGTTGCTAAACAGGTTTCCTGAACACAACAGATTAGCAGTTTTTCTATGAGGAAACGACAGATCGAGCTAATTTAAGCTAAGCTAGTTTTAAGCTATTAAAATCTATTTAATAGTTGTCATTTTAGTAAATTTAAACCAGTTTTTCCTTTATTGTGTTAACAAAGTTTTCATGTTTTTCATTTACATAAGCAGTATCCAAGATTTTAATGTTAAAAAGTATCATAATCAGTCATTGACAGCTGCAGTTAAATAAAAACCACAGAGGAAAACATGATGCTTTGTCACTGGAAAAAATGACTGATGACCAGTAATACCAGAACAAAACAGCTGCAGCACAGAAAGCCACAACAGGGATGCTGCCAACAGCCAATCTTAGACCATCAACATGAACAAAACAACATCCCACTGAGGTAAGGAGTCTCAAATTAAATCTGCTGGTTGACATTTTTGAACTGGGATTGTTTTTTTTGTTTTAAATCCAGTAATTTTCCAGATAAGGACAAACTTCCAGAGTCCTTTCTATGGAGTCAGAAAAGAGTCAAAATGTTTGTAAACTTATAAATCTTAGTTGAAACTGAAAAGATAAAAGTTGAGACAGAAAAAATAGAAAAATTTTACCTTATAATGTGAGAAACTAAAAAAGCAAACATAAGATAATGAGATTAGAATCTAAAGTCAGTTTAGTATTTTAATTACACTTTTTCCTCTTTTTATTTCTTTTCTTTATTGCAGTTTTAAATTTTATATTTTCAGATTCTTAACCCATGGATTAAAAAAAAAAATCCTCAAACTGAAAAATTAATTTGAAACTAAAAAAGAAATTCTTTGAATCTGAAAATATAAAACTGAACTAAAGTGTAATTAGTGTTTGAGTTTGTCAAGCTGAGGGGAAGAATTTAAATAGAAATCTTATTATTTTATGTTTGCTTTTTAGTTTCTCAGATTATAAGGTAAAATTTTGACATTCAATATCAACATCTATTTATTTCTTTTTTACCTTTTATTTTTTCAGTTTCAACTAAGATTTAAATGTTTACAAATATTTTGATCCTTTTCTGACTCCATAGCTCTTACTCCTTCTTTTCATCTACAGGCCTAAAATGTTTCCAATGAAATATGGTTTATTTTATAGGTGACTGTAATTTTGATTTCAGAAGTGGGGGGGGACACAGGTGTATTTTAATGTAATGAACCTCAGCGTGTGTGATCATCCAATCACAGACCGATCCAGTGGCGGATCAGATGTTTGTAAAGTGAGCTTCTCAGGAGGGACAGTCAATCACACAAGAAAAGATGGAGGGCCAATCAGGAGCTTTAATGGTGGTCTAAACTCAGGGAAGCGGGCTTCAGCTTGGGCTGCATTTTTCCGCTTGGTCCTAGTGCTCAACAAATGTCTGTCTTTGTTTTTGGACAGCAAAAAGTTAGGGGGAAAAAAAGGAAGTTTGAAAAAGTGCAGGAGCCTTACCCCCACCCCCAACCAAGATTACGTCCATGACCTGGAGTGATCATTTTTTGAACACACTCCACATATGGTTGTTAGTTTTTGTACAGCAGAAGTTTTAGGAATCAATCTGAGCCAACCATTGGACACCTCAACCCTTATTTACATCCTCATCCAGCCACCCCCTCTAGCTCTGCTTCACTAGCCCATCCCAGAACCACAAGTCTACCAGTTATTGATCCATCCCCATCTATTGAACAGTCCCTGATTTTTCCATAAAACCTTTCAAACTTGTATTCAGATCCTCTTGGTGAAGTCTCTGTATTTTAAGGGGATATCTTACCTTACGTGTTCAGAGGTTGTTGAGCTTCAGCATTCCTTGCCTTGACCATCCCTCTGAGCACTAGGCTCTTGAAGGTACGCTGCAGAAAAGGACAAATGGTTCCTGGGGAGGTTCAGATTTAACTCCTCTCAATTAACCCTATGGTAGTTAGTTTGCATCTTTATTCCTCAGCATCTTTCTTCTGTGTCTGTTGACCGTTTGAAACCAAACCCTTGATGGCCGCTCTCCAATATCTCTGCAAGTTTTAAGAATGCTTTGCTGTTTATGAGAAACTTGGTCAAGTTTGTGACTTTTTAGAGCCAGATAAATCTTTTTTTGACTATTTTCTCTGTTGAAAGAGGCTGTCACAACAAATTCATTACATACACATCACGTATAGCTCAGTTTGCAAGAAAATAATATAGCCAAAATATCCACTAGGTTAATTATAGTACACACATTTAATACACATTGCTGGTACTGGGTTGGATCCACTTTAGCCTTCAGAAATGCCTCAATCCTTTTTTGCAAAGATTCAACAAGGTACTGGAAATATTCCTCCGGGAGTTTGGTCCATATTGACATATGTATATGTCACACAGATGCTGCCGATGATGTTGCTTGCTGTTGGAAAAATCAATAATATTCATAATATTTTACTTACTTTCCATAAGTTTTCACTCAGGCCTCACACCTGCAAAGCTATACAGCGTCTGGGTGAGAGGCTTTCTTTTTCATTAGAGATATTTTGGAATAGAAAGTATTAGTTCCCATGAGGCCAGACTTCTTCCCAGTTTATTCAACATTTTACTTTTTCTTTGTAATTTGTTTGGAATAACTATATGTGGGGACTTTCACAGCTTTTTTTCAGTGAGAGAAACCTTGTCTAGATGAGAACAGGGCAGAACATCTAGCTGTGTCATTCGATTTGTTCTGACTTTAGAGATAATTACCATCGATTTTTCCTTTTTTTAACTGGATTGCATAATTGAATACGGTTTCCAACGACACCGCACATCCATGATGCAAATCTCCAGCTCATCTCTTAGGTGAGATGTGGTGATTGTGGGGGCCGTTTGAGTTCAGTGAACTCATTGTCATGTTAAAAAAAACCAGGGTCTGTTTCATGAAGCAGGTTTACCAAAAACTCTACATTGTCTAAATTTGAAAACAGGGAAACTGACTTTTCCAGTTCACAAAGAGTTTCCTCAAACTCTGTTTCAGTCACCATAGTAACATTCTCCCCAGAGCAAACCTGGTGACAGGTTTTCTTCAGTAAACTCGGAGTGTCCTCTGTTGCCACTCTCCTTACAGCCATTCACGTTGTTATTCCTGTCAGTTTGTATATATATATATATATATATATATATATATATATATATATATATATAAAATGTGTATCTATAGATCATTCACTAAGTCCGTGAAAGATTAGGTTTTAAAAACAAACATTGCACGTCCGTCTGATGAGGATTTTATAAAAGAATAAATCTCGATTTTTTCCACAGATAATTAAATAACTATAGGTAGAGGATTCTCCAACTCAGTTGACAGAGTATGAGCGAGATGTGGATAATTTTTTTTTGTTGTATTTACTGTACATGAAGAGGGGAGGTGTTGGCCTTGTGGTTAGTGCATAAAGCTTTGAGTTCTGAGTTGGAGCCCCACAGGTCACCATTCAGGGCCCTTTAGCCAGACCCCTAACCCCAGACTGCTCCTCTGGCACCATACATTAGCTAGCAGCCTTAAAAAAAAAAAAAAAAAACAAAACTGGGGGATGGTGGCCTAGTGGTTAGGGCATTGCGCTTGAAATCATGAGGTTCTGAGTTCAAGCTTCAGTCCCACAGACTTCCAACCTATGTTCCTGAGCAAAGACCCATAACCACACAGCTCCCTGAGGGCCGCATAATGGCAGCCCACTGCTGACCAAGGGGATAGGTTAAATGCAGAGTTCATTACGTTGCTCTGTACTTGGGACAGTGTAATGACAATAAAACACTGGAAAAACTGCTGAACTTATTTTCATATTATAGATAAATAGATTATTTCCACTGGGGGGGAAGGAATTACTTTAGGGTTCGGATTAGGATTCACTCTAATGACAACCTAGTGAGCCTACTGACACAAGCTGAAGGCCTTCTGGGACAGATAGCCACCAATAAAAATGTGTAAACATTTCTAGATATATAAAACTTAATTCTGACTAGTATAATTTTGTTTTTTTACTCGAGCAGCAATCATCACCATAATCTGTAGAGCAGCCGTCTTTAAAACACTTTCTCCCAATTTATTTTTTGCATTAAAATCTTTATTTCCAGTGGGATGAAATAGGCACTTCTTGTTGCTTGTTATGGTGACTTGTGGAATTAGTGTTGCACTCACTAATAAAGGCTTTTCATACTTGTTACGGACCTGTTCAACTCTTAGTGGACCTGCTCAGAGTTGATTAAACTAACTGTAACTGAAACCTAGTCTCCATCTTTAGGCTTGATCAATTCAGAGATGAGGATTTGAGTTTGTGAAATGGACCACAGGGCAGCTTGCCGGGCAGAAAGCACCTTAGAGCTCTAAACTGAGCTTACTTATCTTCCTCAGTCCTGCTATCTCATGCAAGGGCTCTCTCTGCTCCAATTCTGTATCTGCTCCTCGAAAAGAGTAAAAGCCAATTTATGCTTCTGACACAGCCTCTGCAAATCTGTCTCCTTGGTATTTCTTTCCGGCTGCCTGTGTGGTTGTTCTTCTTGATTCGGTGCCTGGGCGCACCATTTTTAAAAACCGAGGAACAACTCTAATGGACAACCTATGCGTCCTCCTATGTCTTTTTGCCAATTCCATTAACAGAATCTGTTCCTCTTCAATGTCTAGCACCATCCGCCAAGTTCTCTTGAGTTCTCGAACAGGCTCCTCCTTGCGCTTTGGTGGGAAACTGCTGTGCATCCCTAGAAATTCCACACTGATGGTGCAGAAGCATACCAGTAAAACTGGTTCGCGACCAGACCCAAGCAACATTTGATGTGTGCGGTTGCAGAAACCTAATCTGCCCTTAAGGCACCATGAGCTCAGGTGATGCATTCTGCCCCCTAAAGGACTAAAAAAAATAAGTAAAATAAGTAAACTTAACAAATCATACAGAGCAAGCTTAGCTATAAAGATCCTTAAAAAACTTAAATAAATAAAAAACATAAAAAAAAAAAAAAGGCAGTTCACCCAAACAGATAAAAACACTTTATTTTAGTGAATTTCTATAGGGTCTGATGGGAAGAGGGCATGTTGTGTTTTACCCTCAATCAAGCATTTTTCAGTCACCATGAATGTTCTGCTGCAGGCACCGAGTTATAGGAGAATACTGGACTGTACACACAGAGAGGCAATGAAAAACCACCACAGCCAGTTTGGAAATACTGCAAGGCCACCATGGGCGAGACGCACGCACGGCTGGAGGATTGATCCACGTACAGTTCCAAGCCGGAGACTTTTGCCGACTTGTGTCTTCTGAAAAGGAAAACCGTGCAAATGTTCTGCATCTCTGTGAACATTGTCTCTCTGAAACAAGTCTTTTCCCGATCTGTGTTAAATGTCTTTAGTCTAATAAATTATTACAGGAAAATTCAAGATCCTTCCAACGGTCTGTCCATGTCAGCTTCAAAGGAAAATATGTAGAGGAGAAGGCCGTCCAATAACAAACCTCATCCTTTCCTTTTGTCGGGAGGCAGAAAAAAAAAAGGGAGAACAGGCACTCTAAAACAGTCAGGAAGGTCATCATCTCACACGGAGCCGGGACATCATCCACTCAAGACCTTGACACAACCTGGAAGTACCATGTGGAGAGAAAGAGAACAAGAATAAGATGAGCAGAGTAAAGGTATGTTCATTTATATTCACTTCAGGTAAAACTATCAGAGTTCAGTGAAGGTTATTCTCACCCCTCCCCTGTGAGAGCGCAACAGGCCTGGATGTGCCACTGGTGATCTTTGACGGAGGTAAGCTGGAGGCTCTGGGAGATTTCAGCCACTGTCATGCAGCCTTTCACATCTTGCTTGTTTGCAAATATCAACAGTCCTGCTTTTCGTAGGTCCTGTCCAAATAAAAGATTTCATTTATTGCAATATATTTCTTTTTTAAATCACAAAAGAGTTAAACAAACTGGGCTAAGACTTTTTAAACTAGCAGACATCTTTTTTTTTTATTTGATTTTAGCTCAAATGAAAAGAGTCTTGTTATGCATCATCTTTGTAAAGGAGAACTGGTAAAAATTTCAAATGATAAGCCAACAACCTTTCTATGCATTATGTTGCCTAACAAAAAAAGTAGACATATGAATTAGGTATGCAACAATGACAGCAGATATTTTTTTGACTTTCAGAAGTATTTAAAAAAAAGTAGATGCAAAAATTTCAGCCGCTGTTGAGTTTTCCATTTGAAAATTCGCTTATCTGATGGTAAATGTTTACATTAGCATATCTTCCCCCCATGAATTTCTCTGAAGACCTGCTCTACCTAAACAAAAATGTTTGCACCCGTTTTAAGAATCGCAAACCTTCTAAAGATCAGGCCCTAAATGTTTTCCTTGTTGATGCCAGCAACCGAGGGAACGGACAATGACAGAAGGGGTATTAGCGCCATCCTTTGGCCCAAGTGGAGGAATCAAAAATAACAAGTAATAAGCTACATAAAATAGTATATACATTTTTTTTTCAACTAAAGCAAATATTTACACAAGTATGGAATTTACAGATCATATATGCAATTTTTTTTTTTATTTAAACATTATTTATGAACGTTAATTTACGTGACCTCTGCTTTCCCAAAAAATGACTTGAGTCATGCCCTAATTGTTCCCCGGTCACTTTGCAGAGGCCTACACTTTGTTGTCAGTAAACTTACACTGCTTTTTTCTCTCTTTTTTTTTTTGGTTGCAATATTACATCGGAGTATTAGGCTAGACCAGCGGTCACCAACCTTTTTACAGTTGAGGGCTAATTCAGGGGTACTGAGTCACAGGAAGGGCTACCAATACTGACCTATGAATTACAAGGGTCAACGTTCACCTTAACTTCATACATCATAAACATCTCTTTATCGTTTCTTTAAATTTATAATTTTCTTTTAGACATTTTCATTTTGAAATCTCTATAAATGCTTAAATGCCATATATGATTCAATTATGAAATTTTCTATAACCCTAATAAAAAAAGAAGAGCAACAGAATACAGTGAAATTTCAAACGTAGCTCACTGTTGAGTTGTTCTATTTTCGGAAGACTCTAAGGGCACCCCTTGTGGTTCCCTTGGTGCCCGCGGGCACCATGTTGGTGACCCCTGGGCTAGAGATTTAAGAGACGAGAATTAAGTCATCATACAACAACCCATTTCAGAAAGAAAGCTTGGAGTTCCGACCAACATATGGCGCTGGACCAGCTCCACCAACCAGCAACCCGAGCTCACTTTGAAATACTGCCCAATTTATTGCTGTTGTGCTAAAAGGTTTCCTTATTTGTCAAACCAGAGCCAAAGTATGACTTCACATGATGCTGGAAATTACTTATTTAGGGAAGACCGTACTTCTTGTAAGAGTTGTCATAAAATACAACTTGTTTCTAGTAATTTTAGGACTTTACTTTCTTAATATTACGACTCTATTCTCGTAATGTTGCGACTCTATTCCCGTAATGTTGCGACTCTATTCCCGTAATGTTGCGACTCTATTCCCGTAATGTTGCGACTCTATTCCCGTAATGTTGCGACTCAACGTTATTCTCTAAATGGAAAAAAAAAAAATCTCTAGCCCGGCCCTAATACTCCATCGTAGCAACATGAATAGTTATTTGAACATGAAATTTTGTTTTTGTTGCTATATTAAAGTAAAGGCAGTGTCATCAGAGGGAACATTTGAAATTAGATTTTTCTACTTAGTTCTTAGTTCTACTGTCGCAAAGTAAGGTTTCAAAAAAAGCTCTAATTTCTGTGATTGCAGTATTTCATCCTTTGATCCCAAGTGAGATCCTTGTCAACTAAAATCTAAATATATGTTAATATAAGCAATTCATTGGAATTAAACTAAGACTGAACAACAGACTGAAGTAGACTTAAATGATAAAGGTTTGACTAAGTTTTCACTAAAATAAACATAAACAGCTTTTTAAAATGTTTTTTTAAATTGACAGTGGTTAAATATCACATTTCATTTGCATAGATCTCTGGAAATAATGTGTATGATGAAAAAAATGTGACATTTTACACTATCGGCAATGACCTCTCATCCTCTTTTCATGGTTTAATTGATGGAAACAGCCTTTGCTTTTTATTTTTCAAGGGCATTTTTGGTCTCCTCCTGGCTTTCTACCAACGCCGTTCACGTTTTGCCAGTTTTTCAATGAAGCAAAGTGTCCTTTTGGTGAAACCAAGTATCTGTGCATTGACATGTGCATTAAGTCAGAACTTGCCGTCCAATTCTGAGGAAATTTTTGAAATACCGCTCTTGATTAAGAGGAAGGATCACTTCTAAAAGCTGCAGGGCTTAAGGACAATCATTACATTATTTATTCTTATTTTTACTTTAACATTTTTAGCATCTAAAGTTCCTATTCCACTGTATTTTTTTAACTGTGAGGGGATCAACACTTTTACTTTACTTTTAACTTTCATTCAGTCATTAGAGGAAGACCAAAAATGTGGCGAAAGAAAGTTTCTTCAAGCTTTCAAAAAGAAAAACTTATGTTCCCCAAGCAAGGATTTCAAGCATGTCTAAGCAGGATTATAGGTTGCAAGGAAGTCAGTTAGAAAATAATTAAGTCAGAGTTTAAATTTAACTAAAGAGCAACCCTTTATTACAAGATGTGCAAAATCATGAATCACCTCTTGAAGGTGGAGTTATTGTTAAAGGAAAACTGGAAATCCTTGAAATGCATCAATAAAACTAGAAGGAGGTTATGAATACATATATGAATAGTTATTCAGGCACAGAGGATGTGTCATGTGGCAAAAGCAAACAACGAAAAGGTCAATAGAAGAACATACTGAATGAACAATGCAAAGTTCTCATAACAACCAGCAGATTGAAAAGCTATTGCGATCAGGACATTAGTGGAAACAAATACTAATAATCTGCTTTTAATGAATTACAAATAAACTTGTAACCAAATCTCTTACTTCATGTGCTAGCATTCTGTAGAGCTCCTCTTTGGTCACAGAGATCCTCTCTCTGTCTGTGCTGTCAACCACCACGATTACAAACTAGACAAAAAACAAGGAGAGAAAAACGGTCCATTAATAACACACAGACACTGCACCACAGAATCAGAGTCGCACTTATTATCCACAGACATTGACAGTTATGTAGAAGTTAGTGTGAAAAACCCACACAGACACCTTCCTTCCAATAATAAGATTTCTCACATCCATTTTCACTTTTTTTTTTATTGCCGATTAAAGAAACCCAGATAAAGATGCAAACATAATCTGATGATTGTCTCCATTTTTTTTTTAATCAAAAAGTTTTATACTATATTGCCATAAGTATTCACTCACTTGACTTGACTCACATGTGAACTCATATCTATAAGTCTGTTTCTGGGAATTTTGACCATTCTTCCAGAAGCACATGAGATTAATAAAGTGATGTCGGTGGCCTGGCTCTAATTCTCTGCTCTAAATCATCCCTAATGTGATCCAAGCTAGAAGAGAAAGGGGACATCTCTAAACTGTTCCCATAAATAAACTTTACATGCAGAAGCTCACTCTCACAACAACTACAGGTGCTTGGCTCCAGGTACTTAGAGATTCCCTTCCATAGAGAAAGCCCATGTTCTTATCTACAGCTACCACAGTATAGATGTCAGATTAAACAATACCACTTATACTTCAGCGATAGTATCAACGTGTTACTTTATTGTATCTCCTATACTATATCCGTTGGTTGTGCTGTTCTTTTTAACATCTCTTTGCAGGTGATGAAGCTGACTGAAGATGTTTTATTGTTATCTCCCTTTTATCTCCTCTTTATTTCATCTTTTCTCATTGTTACCGTTTTTCCTTTCCTGTTCTACTTACATTGCAGTGTCCATATAATCTGTAATACTCCCTGCATGTATTATAATAAAGCTATTTATATACATAAATCAAGCAGAACAATATGGCGATAGCTGTACTGCTCCATTTGTGAAAGTAAAATCTGTTGGGCTCTTTTTGGCATCAAGACAGTTATTCTTATTGCCACATTGCCAGACAGGACACTGTAAAAAAAACAAAAACAAGAAAAAAAAAAACTGTTCCCAGAAAGTTGGAAGCATGGAGTTGTTTAAAATACTCAGTATAAACAAACATTCAGAGTTTCTTTCAGTGGAAACTAAGAGGAAAAACCTTTACATTCGTCCAGATTCAGTCAGACAAGCACTGATGGCAGACAGCATTAAGAAGAAACCCGACTTGTCACTCCAGGAAATGAATGCTTTAGAATTGGTCATGTATGGCAGTGATTCTTAACCATAGGGCCGCGGCCAAAAGTTGGGCCGCCAGCGCCCCCTTGTGGGCCGCAAAAATCTTTCAGTTTTGCACCTGTGGGCCGCAAGGGCCGTGGGACTGCGTGCAGCTTTCGACCATGTGGTGGCGGTAATGTATCACTCGGTTGTTTAAAAAGCGCCAATACACAGAGAATTAGACTGTCTACTTCGCAGCAAAAATCAATAGTATAGGAAGAAAAATACGTTGAGAACTCGTCAGTTTCTCTGTTTGCGTCCACCATTGTGTTCGTCTTTTGCCAACCAGTCCGGCGCATGCGCGGACTTGGCAAAAGACGAACACAGTAGTAAAAGGTAAGAGCTAGCGGACTTTTACATTGGATTACCCTTCTCGCAAAAATGGATAAGTTTTTAAAAATAAAAAATGAAGACAAACGTCCTGCCGACACCCCCACCCAAAAGAAAAAGTTTTTGCGGAAATACAATCTCGACTTCATTAAATGCGGTTTCGTAAATGGAAGAACAGAGGCAGTGCCAAAAGCCCAGTGTGTGGAGTGTGGGCTAATGCTGTCCAATGAAGCTCTCAAGCCCTCAAATCTACAGCGGCATCTAGAGACCAAGCACCCGATGCTCGTGGGAAAGCCGGTGGAATATTTTAGGAGGAAGGAAATTGGGCTGCAGATGCAGAAAAGGTCTGTCGTGTCACTGACAAGCAACTCTAAATGTGCTTTGAAAGCCAGATACCTCGTAGCCAGACGTGTGGCACAGAGTAAGAAAGCATTCACCATAGCGGAGGAGTTTGTTCTGCCTGCCGCTGTTGATATGTGCCGTGAGCTAATCGGAGAGGCCGCCGCAAAAAAGCTGCTGACCATCCCACTCTCTAACGACACTGTGAGTTTTTTTTTGCTTGTTAAGCAATAAGTGGATTTGGTTTATTATTGAATACAAATCAAACTGTACAGTGTTAATATATAATGGGCCCCGGGCCACTTTGTACTATAAAAATTGGGCCTCAAGGTCGAAAAGGTTAAGAACCCCTGATGTATGGCACAGATGCAGCTGCTCGGTTCAATACACACTTGAGCGTCTGCTTCCTCCTCTCCATCAGTTTGTGGCTCAACACTTCCTGCTGAGAAGCTATTGCTCCAAATCACTTCCACTTTTCAAATAATGTTCTTCATTGCCAACCTTGGGCTGCTTACCAGCTTAAAGTTTCAAATCTGAAACTTTCCATCACACCTTTTGTACCTTCAGCATCAGTTCTTAGTGAAACTAACACTGTTTGTTAATCAGATGTTTTAAGTTTTAAGTAAAAGTCCTGAATCCCCCAGTAGCTGCAGCTGTGCATTTTATGTACATCCGTTCACTCGAAATTTCTACTTTTATGCATGTTAAGATGCATCAAAAATATATTGTTAAAAACTGCATGTTAAACACTACTTTGCAATCTAAAAAAAAACAAAAACTCCCAAAGTGATACATTAGTTGAATAAAAAAAAAAAAACAGACTTTTTTGACAGTATACCCTGATTTATCTTAGCTATTAAAGAAGCAAAAAAGTACAGTAATTTTCGGACTATAAGCCGCAACTTTTCCCCCATTTTTCAACCTTGGGGCTTATATAACAATGCGGCTTATCTATGGACTTTTACAGCTAACGGCCACTTGGGTAATACCTAAATCTATGGATTTTACCATCCACCATGTTGACGTCACATTTGCTTCAACACACAAGTACGGTAGCCACGCGCGGGAATGCGGAGGTCCTGCGGAAGCAGCCTTCTACCGCGAGTGGTACGAGACAGAACAACAGCGAGAAAGACGGACATTGCGAGTGCAAGCCAGTTTGTGTTAAACATAAAAAACCTGCGGCTTACAGTCCGGTGCGGCTTGTATATGTACAAATCATGCAATTTAGCTTCTGCGGCTTACATTCAGGTGCGGCTAATAGTCCGAAAATTACGGTAGTCATCATATTCTAAACTCTGTCAGTATGGTTTGACTGAGTTAGGTTAAATAAAAAAAAAAAAAAAAACAGTATGAACGTGCACTTAAAGGGAATGACAATTTAGCAAAGATTACTGAGGTTATGCTGAAGATTAGCTCACATTTCAGCAAGTTTTTCTTTTTTACTTCAGCATTTCACCGTTAGAATATGACAGCTGTTCATTTCTACTCACAAGTAAAGGTGGAAAATTCACAGACTGACTAGTTGCAGAGTTTAAAACCTCGCACAGCCCCACCCTGGATCCTTGATCTTTATAAACCTAAGGCCATGGAAGTGATGGAAATCCCAACCTCAAATATTTAGATATATTTATGGAATACGGTGTGTTGTTCTGACACTGCTCTATTCTATTAACTACTACAAAACTTTGAAGCATTATCACTATTAAATCTAGAGCGTATCGACCCCCAATAAAGTTTATGCTAGACATACCTGTTGACCTCTGTTTCTAATCCTCCCGTTATCATCAAGAGCTGACAGCTGGAACCAGCACAGAGCTACAAACACCTGGATACACTTACAACAAACTGAGTGACAGCCTTAACAGCTCTTCTATCTACAAAAAACGCCTGCATTGTCTTTATTTTCCACAGAAACTGAACACTTCAAAAGGTGACCTAAAACTGATTGTTGTACTCCTCAGGTGGATTTAAATTTTTGTATCGCTCTGTGGCCTAATAATGCTAATGCTACGTTCACACTGCGAGCAGCAGAGGCAGCTAGCTAACATGCAAAGTCAATGGTTTGACCTGTATCTTGGCGCAGCAAAAGGTCTGTTTCAGCGCGTTTGAGCAGCTGAAGCAGAGCATTGTGAGCTTTTGAGCATCTGACGCGTGCAATGCGCTTCAGAAGCAGCAGCTGCTGGAATGTTTGTTGCTCGACGCGCCACATCAACCAATCAAGAAGAGCTGATCTGGGGGCTGGCAGGGAGACAGACAGCACTGCTGATGCAAATCACTATGATTACTCCTCTGAAACAGTTTATGAACACCTAGCGTTCAACCTTTATTAGAGTACCTGCCAGTAAAATATGTTAGATTTTATTATTCTGTTGCCTGCTTTTTGGATTACGTACGCTGAAAACCACAAAGAGACAACCGGGCCAAAGGCTGCTGTTGAACTGGATTCCTAGTGACAGAGCACTGCCAGTGTACGGGGGTCTGAGTGGCTCCGACAAACATAATATTTGAAGGCTGGATGAACTGACTACACTGATGAAGTTTTCAGGTGGACTTTCTTTTTCTTTTTTTTCTTACTTTTTACCCATAGATCACAGCATATATAGCTGCCATTGTTACAGGCAAAGAAACGATTAATTGAGATATTTTCATTGTAGATAATGACCCAAATTCTTAAAAATACATATTTCTTGTCTTCATCTCTCCAAGGAACTTTTTTTTTTTACTTTTGAAGACTGAGTAGGAACCCCGTACATGCCATTCTAACATCATTTAACCTCTGACACTAGGCACGGAAAAATACAAACACATATCAGTCAGTCTTGCATTCATGAGTCCCAGATCACTGCCAGGATTTAAATAGATTATTAGCAGGCCTCTGCAGAGATATAAGATATAATACCATGGAGGTAATTCAACTTTTGAATCAACAGGAGCAAATGCATCCAAAACCTGCAGATTCACAGCTCCTTATCAAAGACTGCATTTGGACAAGCCTGTATCAAATTGTGCAAAACAAAGAGGTAGCCATGGATACGATTCAGTCCCTCATAGAGGCCTGGAAACAGGTCAGGACCGCCCTAATACCTGTGCAACAGGTGGTTGTGTGATATATGGACTTTTCTGGAAAAGAGTTTAAGATGGTGTATGCTTCCACTGCAGCTTTTCCTTTGCTAGCATCATTGCTCAGTCCTCATAAAAGCAGCTCTGATTCTGGATTTTACGATAGATGTTTGTTTAGCAATGATTACATGGAAACTGAAAAAACAGATTTATTTAACACCAACACAAGAATGTGAAGCTCTATCACAGATGTCTTGGGAGTCAAAAACAAAAAGTTCATACAAACCTTAAACACCAGCAAACTTCGTCTTAGGGCTGCAACTAATGATTATTTTGCAAATTAATCGATCCATCGATTATTTTTTAGATGAATAAATTAATAATCGGATAGCAAAAGGTTCCTTAAAGAAGACTTTTTATGAAATTAAACCATGTAAAACTGAAACTTCTCTACTTGAGGAGTTCTGGTTAGAGCATGCTAACATGAGAAAAAGTATTTTTTTATCTTAAATGCAAAATGTTTAAAATTATATAATTGCTGCTCAAAGTGGGTCGCTCTGTCAGCTAAAGGCATGTTTCACAGTCTCTATACTCCAGTTAGCAGTTAATGGATTACTAAATTAGTCAGCCATTTCAATAATCGATTAATCACGATTAATTTCATTGTTTCCCTACTTCTTCTCATTATCGAAATTCAAATATAACTTTTCTGAATCCAATTTTGCATTTAAGGCAGAGAAAAAGTTTTCCCAGAGGAAAACGCTGTCAGTTAAATACAATGATATTGTCAAAGCCTGGCTGTAACTCTTAACAAATCCAGGAATCCCCTCTAAAAATGTTCACATCAGCCAATTTTGAATTTGGGTTGAACATTTTCATCGAGAGTGAGCTACAATTAGCTAGTGCTGGGAATATAATCACCTCTGTGTTGGTGTAGTAAGTATTCCAGGATGATCTAAGGGATTCCTGGCCTCCGATGTCCCACATCAGAAAATGGGTGTTGTTGACAACGATTTCCTCCACATTGCTTCCAATAGTAGGCGAAGTGTGGACCACCTCATTCATTGAGCTGTAGAGGAACAAACAGTTATCTAAATAGTATAGCAACTAGTCAAACTAAATAAATAAGCTTTATATTTTTAGGGTTAAAAAAAAACAAAACAAAAAGAAAAAAAAAAAAAAACATGCACATGTGAAGACTTTAACAAATTGTAGTTTGCAGGGATACTTACAACTGGTAGAGAATTGTAGTCTTGCCTGCATTGTCCAGGCCCACAATAATGACTTTGTGCTCTGAAAAGCAAGAGAAAATTTATAAAAGATTTGCCAGCAACCGTGAATAATTTGAGTTTAGCAGTTGCAGTTTGTCTCATACAAAAAAGTAGAAAGAGAGCAAGCTATAATGGGATGTGGAAGCACACTTCTTTGTATTCTGGACAAGCTAGCAAACTGAAGCTCGTCACTGGAGTGAATAAAGTGAATTTGATTGGTCGTTTATCAAGAGGGTGGGATTTTTGTGGCAGAAGCTTCGCAAGCAAGTTTGATTGTGGCCGGTTTGTCGGAAGAATCTTGCTAACCAGTTAGCAACTTAGTGGTGGTAGGTTCCCACTGGGAAATTCCATTGGGACCAAGTAGCACTAAATTGGTGACTTAGAAAGGACACTGTCAAGGAACGTTATGGACAGAGGAAACATGCAAGAGGAGGAGAGTTTTGTGTCGGAGGTCGTGGATGAGTGTCCTCCTTCACGAACTTTTTATTTAGAGGAGGAAATCGGGGACGAAGATGTTGTGGAAGAGGACGCCAGGGCGGCAGAAGCTTGGTTTGGTGTAGAAGGCTTACAGCCGTACATGTTTGAGCCCTTGCCTCGCAACGCTGCCAGTTCCGTTAGCTCTACGCCTGCTGAAGACACAGACGTCCATCCCCGTGAACACTGGGACGGAACTCAATGGTAAAGTAAATTATTCTTATTTTAACCGTTAATATTGCCAAATTTAGGTGTACAAGCTCATGTATAACTAACCGGCCTGGAGAAGATAACGGGGGGAAAAAAAGGATTTTTTTTTTTTTCTTTATAAAAATGTTCTACATTTCAGGACAATAAAGTCTGATAAAGAGTACATTTCTATACTTGTTTAAGCCAGAATGATTTGACAGTTAAATATGATTTCCCTAAGACAAAGACAAAAGCACAAATGTTCACAATCTGATGCATTCATGGTGGACGTTTTATAACATAATTACTTAAAAAAAAAATGTTAATAAAAAAAAAAGAAGCTCTCTTATTATTATTATTATTTCTTATATTTCCTTTGGGTAAAACTCTGCTTTAGGCATCAAAACTTATTTTTTAATGATTGTAAATAATTAATTTCCCTTATTTTAGCTTCTATGACATGACCTTAAAAAGGAACAAAGAACAATTGATTAGTAATGCTAAAGTAAAAAGCAGAAATGAGAGTATGACCAGAAAAAAAGTCCCCAGACAACCTTTAGACAGCCTTTATTGGCAAGTTGCTTAACTGTTTCCAAGCATGTTAATTAAGGGTGTCCTGATACATTGTTTTCTTCTCCAGGATTATACCAATATAACAGCTTTGAATATTGACCAGCACTGATATTGATATATCAGAACAACTCATAGATATATTTATTATTCATTTTGTGGTGTGGGATGTCAGAAAAGGTTTCACCAAGTTATATTACTCAAGTAGAGAACAGTCAGCATAGATATGATAATAGCTGACCCATGCCCAATAGGTTTCATAAACATTAAAGAGGAAGCAGATTGTGGCATTTCTATCAACATGCTTGTAACAAAGGTTTCCAACGCAGACCGGAATATTCTAATGTTGGTTTCATGGTTGTTATTGGACCAGAACATCCCTAAAAATATTATTCAAAAGCAAATTAAAACACATGCAGTATAAATGCATTTGATCTTGTGTATTTTTAGGATATTATATACCAAAAAAGAAGCTTTCACAAAAATAGATTTGAGATTAAACGGGCTCTTAGGAAACACTACGACTTGAGTTAAAAAACAGCTTAATTTTCAGCCAAGTAATAATCTATCACGCACACACTCCTGATCACAATCTTCTGAACAGTTAGAAAAACTGCAAAATCATAAAGTTTAAAAGATGAAATGGGAGGAAGAGACAAAAACTTTTTTCCAAGCAGGCAATTTATTGAAAACAAACTGAAACAGGCTGTTCATCAGCTGAATAAAAGTCTACAGCCTATAAAGCAAGATGTGCACAAAAACAGGGATTCTGGGTCATTTTCAATCAACTGTTCAAACTCTCAAAACCTCCTGATTGCAAGGACAATAAAAGCTCACAGACTTTGAACAAGCTAGGATTGTTGAGCTCCATAAGCAAGGCCACTAGACAAAACAGATTGAGTGAAAAACCCAGTACAACTTCACTGGCACTGAGCCCCAGGATAAGATTGGCTTCCTGTTATGACTAGGGACGATTCCAGATTCATATTAAAGCTATCACTGGTTCCGACTGCAGCTAAATAATCAGATGGCAATGCAGAGGGTAGGGCTTCAAAAACAACAACAAAAAAAATATTACAAAGATCTATCTTCTTCCACGCCAAAAAATAACTTGTTTGGACTTTCCAAACAATGGATGTTAAAAAGTGGAAGAAAGCTTTACTTTAACAACAGCATTAAAAAAAAATGGTTCTGAGTCGACTGTTAAAATACTCCGCCTAGCTGCATGAGTCTGGTCTTATTCTGCTAGAGGTAAACAAGTATGTAAATCAAGTATGTAAATACATAAGAGAAAGACAGAGGGATGGAGAGAAAAAGAAAGACAGAAAATCCACAAGGATTAATTTCTATGTAGCTCTGGTTGAATCTCTGTCGTCCCTGGGTTCTGCAGGGCGAGTCTGGGGCCACTCATACTTACTATTGAGCATATGTTCCTTCTGAAGAATAATTGTAAACCTCTTATATACAAACATACAAATGATGCTAACCACGGGTGTTTGGTTCCAGGTGTCAAGAGTTACACATTAAACCGGGAATACACTGTACGATTTTATTGCCCTTTTCAGGCCGATTCTCCAAAATCTTTAGATCGTGCCAAGTTTCAGCATTATTGTGCGTTGTGTAGTATACAGGCGGTAAAAAGGGGCAAATAGCCTCTCACGACCACCTCCCGATCAGGAATCGTAAGGTCGGAAGAAAATCAAACATGTTTGAAATTCAGTCTGCATCGTAAGGTTGTATCGGGCTGACAGTGTGAGAACATACATCGTCAGCTAGGGGTGTGCAAAATAATCGTGATGATGATGCATCGTGATTGTGATTTTTTTGATCTAGTGCATCGATTCTTGATGCCAAGAATCGATTATTAATTTAAAAAAATGAATAAATAAAATTGCATGAATGGTTGGCGAACATCAGCCAAAAACAAGTGTAA